AAAAAATCAATGAACCATTAAAAACAAAAAAAAAAGACAACCAAGATAGGAGGTTGGCTGGGACATGTGGCATGAATTCTCCAACAGCTGAGCCTGCCCTTCATTGAACAAAGGGAAGATGTGGGTGAGGAAGATGTGGGATCCACCACAGTGATCTTGAGCTTGTCATAAACCTCACCACCTATCACAATTTGCTGTTCCTATGAGCTGGCAAAACATTGCCAGTCTTCCCCTCTGAGCAAAGATGGGAGCGAGGGAAGAATCCCACTCCATGGAGATGCCTCTGAGACGCTGTGGAAGGATCCACCTCACTGGCTGTGGATGTGCCTCTGAGTCAGCTGCTGCAAGAACATCCATAGGGTGACTCACCTGACCCACTTCAGGCTGGGATGAGCCACCCTCCTCACTTCCGACATAGGGAATTAGGGGGATTGGTTTGGATGTGACCATTTAGTTTTCAGATGCTTAAGTGAGAGTAGATGAACATCATCCAGGCAGCCAAACACTCCTGATGAGAAAGCCTTCCTCCTCAGGAAGTGAACCATGGTTTTGCCAGGGGCCATTGAGGGCCAAGTTTTCACCTGAGAATGAGGACATTTCTACACCCTCCACTCCTCAGTGATGGACCTGATGGTACACCTACTGCCCAGCAATCAAAATCTTGATCCAGTCACATTTCCCTTCAATAAGATGTTTTCCCTTAATAACCTTCACAGAATCAGATGGTATAATAATACTGTCCCTTGCAGGGAGAGACAGCAGCAAAACTTGCCTCGTTCTGAGGAACAGATGAATAAAAATAAAAAGTCTGGGCTATTAACCCACCACACAGATTAAAACGTCTCTTCCTGCCCTAGCCCTCAGCTCCATTTAGCAAACCAACAAATCACAGATAACAGGCTGTAATTATCCTTCCATTTGCAGCTCCTGAGCAATCGTGACCCGGCCATCTCTAACGGGACACAAAAGCCACTGTGGTTGAGGCTTCTTGGGAAATGCCTCAACACTGCATGGACAAACCTACAAACAGATGTGGCAGATGCTTAATGCTGTATGTTCAGTAAGGAGCTCTCAGGCTTCAATATCCCCAATGTGTTATAAAATAAATTATTATTGCTGTTACCATAACTATTATTAAGAAGAATTCGACCATAGACATATTTATCTCCCTTTCTATCAGTTTTAGAGTGAATTATGAATTGCAGTAACAAAAACTAGAATTGCTGAGTTAATTTGTTGGGGTTTGGTGTTTGCCTTCTTTTTTAAAAGGGGCATTAAGCAGAGGTCAGACCTTTTAAATCTTGTTTTAAAACAATATGGCAATTAAATGGATCAGAGGAATTTCAGTGCATAGTCCTACCTTAACCCATCCAAGAGTAAAATATCACACCTGAACAAGCAGGGATAAGACTTTCAGGATGTCTCTAGGGCAGATAAACTCCAGTGTCAGATGCAAATCAGCTCATTCCATGGGGTGATTATCTCAGGAGAATTTGTATTCAACAGTAGCCTGGAACGGGAGCAGCAACTGAGTCCCTGCAACTGCATCCTTGTTCTTCTGCAGGATCCTTCCCAAGGGAATATTCCTCAGCACAACAGCCATGTCAGCTTTAAATGCCCTGTGTGATGATGCTTCTGCCTTTTCTTTAGAAGATGGAATAGTTTGTCACAAGGAGTTCAACCCTGAAATTGCTAATCCTGCCCTAGGGATGAGCCCACCGGGTTTGCACGGGAACACAGTCACTGAGCTGCAGTGAGTTACATAAACAAGGCTGGAACAATCCAGCCAGTTTTAGCCACGTTCCTGGTTTGTTTTGTGGAGGTAAAAATTCAAGCCTAAGGAGACAGATCAATAAATTGAGAGAGCAAAAGGTGGGCAGAGAACCGAGCACCGGCAAAGCAATGGGGTGAGGACATTCCGCCACGAAGCTTCCGAAAAAAACCCCCTGCTTCTCTTCCCGTGTATTTGTGCCCGCTCAATTACAATCCAAACAGCGTCTCAGCAGCCACAGCAGACACGTGAATCCCAGCACTTGTGGAAAACTACCAAATACCTTTCTGTATGCAAAGCATCTCTTAAGAACACAACAAGTTCAGCTCACCAAGGGAGCTGGGAAAGTGTCTCACCAGGGATGCTGCGTACTGGGAAGCGGGAATACTCTGAAACAGCTTGTTTCAGTGGTGCTACAGCTAACCCTGATGATACAGGATCAGCAAAGATGACTTTTAAGTTGTGGATGGGGGAAAAAGAGGCATTTGCTCACTGCTGTATTTCCATCCCTTTTAGTAGAGTTGTTCCACTTCTGTCCTGATGTGGAAAACTCACTCCAAAACCCTGCTGACTGCAGGATGTACCAAATCACAGGTGGGATGGGATGGGATGGCTGGAGGTGAAAGGAGAAGAGGGGTTGGAAACTAAGGAACATGAGCCAACAAAAAAATTCATTTCCCTGACTTAAAGGTTGCAGCTGCACCTGCTGGGACAAGAAATAGGGTGAAATAAAATTCTGTACCTCCTCTGACTTCTACGTCCTTGCATCAGTTTAACTCTCCTGAACACAGTGCCAATTAAATGATTCCTCTGTTAAAGCAGGAGTAACTGCTAAAAACCTGATATCTCTGCAGGTCTCTCTGCCAGAGATGAGTTACAACACGATCCTGTCCTGAGTTTGCTTTTTCTCAGTGATTCTTCACTCAAATACTCTGCTTTCATTAAAAGATAATCCGAGCTAATTTAGGAATTAGACTGTTTGTACTAAGTGTGCTCAGAAGGAAGGAAAGGAAAACAAAATCTGCTACATTGGAATGAATCAGCTTGGGGACACAGGTCTCAACTTCTCAAAGGCATAGGCACATATGGAACTCAACCCCGGGAAAAAATATCTCCAGGATGCCAGCTCAGTCAGCCAAATGAAGAGAGATGTGATGCACAGAGGTCTGAGTGTGATCAACAGCACAGCCCACAAGCTCAGAAATCTCTGGTTCTCTCTGCCTGGTATCATCCCACAGCAGAGCTCCTGCCTTGGTGTTTGTGAGCGTGACAAACACGCCGACAGCAGATCCAGACAGATCCATGTGGCACCGCCGTGCAAACAACAGACATCTTCAACCTACAGGGAGGAAGGAGCCCTCCAATTCCTCACAGGGACCCCAAGGAATGATAGAAGGCTAAAGCCAAGGAGCCATCACAAGGGTAGTTCTCTGTGTAAAGAAAAATAAGTGTGTTTATCACGCAGAAAGCCCCCCCCCCCCGACCTTGGAGCCTGTGCAGTGTCAGTGGTTATCCTTCCAGTCATGCACACATGCCTTCGACTGGAGAAAACAAAACCAACACAAATCTCCCACTCCTGGGTGAGATGAACTGCCTGGGCAATGACAGATCAGCTGGAGCTGTCCTCAATGACAACAAAGCAGCAACCACTGCCTGCAGCACAGAGGGGCAGGTGGGGATAAAGGTAGATAGACCACAACCCCAAACTGTAACCAAGACAACAAGCACACACATCAACTTTAATCCAACTCCCGTTATTGCACTGTCTAGCGTTCCTTAATTATCCACCGAATTGGAGCAGCGTTGCCTTACCCACCCCACAGGACAACTTCTTCCGAGCCACCTCCAGCGTGTTTTGCACTGGCCAAAGACAGATGCTTGTATAACATGTTCTTTCTCTGCAGCTACACCAGCAGCATTCAAGGAGTTTGCCTTCCTGCTGTCCTTAGCCTTAAGTAACCAAACATTCCCTTTGATTAACCACGGGAACCTTTCCCTGCTGTACCTGACCAGTGCTGCATAGGCTGAACAGAGAAGTGAGGTGGCTCTGCACCCAAAGAACAGCAAGGGAGAACCCCTTTGTTGACTACAAGACAGTAAATAAAAATACCCCAAAAGCTTCTTCACTTCCACGTTGTCATATCAGTCCAGCACTTGCACTGTAATTAACATGCACCAGACGGATGGGAATTGATAACACCCTGCGAAAGAATCAGGTCACTTTGCTGCCTTTTTCACTTTAGTTAATATTTCCTTCTTATTATAGTTCCCTCCTGTGCTGCTCCAATATACCCTTCAAGCTAAAGGCCAGATTCTGTTTACCTGCAGATCAGATGCAGAGGAAATCCACTGACTTCCAGGGAGTTCTTCCAGACCTGCTTCTACGTGAGTGGGATGTTTGTCTGGTGATAAACACTGGGATGTCACTAACCAAATCTCCCCCTTTTATTTTTTTTTTTTTTTTTTTTTTTTCTCTCCAGGCATTTTCCTGTTCTGAACAACATGCTGCATTATCTCATTATCTTAATCCACCCTGGCTGCAAACTCACTCAGATTCCAACACACACCTGAAGGGTTCACATGCTAAATTCTCAGCACATCGGAAAAGAGCCTGTCCTGTGAGCCACCCCCCGACTCGAGATGTGCTTTGCATGAAGATGGTCTCATTGGAAGCAGCTGTTCAAATCCTGATAAGGAGACGTGCCCGGAGGCGAGCGGAGGTCAGAGGCACACTAACCACAGTCTTACCCCCCAGGAAAAGCCGGCAAGTCCTGGTGCACTGCTCGGAGGGTGAATCGGAGTTTCTGCGGCAGGTGAAGATGCAGAGCTGCGAAGGGAGCCGGGGGGCTCGGAAATGCCGCCAGCAGCAGCAGGGGCTGTTTAGCAATCACGTTTTATTTACCAGCCATATTGTGTTAAAAACAGACGTGATTCCCATACCGAGCGCCTTAACCTGTCACCGCTCGCGAAGGGAGATTGATTTGTTTGGGAAGAGCCAAACCTCTCTGGAGGACGCATCCTCCGAGCCTACAGTTCTGCCGGAGGCAGGAAGCCTGCCTGCGATTCCCCGCTACAGAAGTATTCCCAGGACCTGGAGAAGCGCAGGGAAGAGCCGGTAAATCGATGTCAAGACGAGCCGGCGGGTCCTTCTCGCTTTGCCGCTTGGGCATCCCCGGGTCTGGGGATGGGGCAGCACCGGGGGAGGTGGGGAAGGAAGGAAAGGACTTACCATTGCAGCAGGGATCCGTCCCGGCGCTGGAGATGCCGCATCCCCGTGGTGCGGGGCGGGGCGGGGGCCGCGGGGGGACAGCGGCCGGTCCAGCCCCGCCGGCTCCGCGCTCCCCCCCGGCCGGAGGAGGGGTCGGCGCCTCCGAAGGGAATCCAAATTCCTCCTCCTCCTCCCTCGCCTGCCGGTCATGTCCGAGCTGCCTTTGCTCAGGGGATGGGCCAGCTCCTGGCCGTGAAGGAATTTGCCATCGCTAAAATAAAAATAATAATAATAAAAAAAACAAAACAACAAAAAAAAACCCAAACACCGAACCAAAAAAAAAAAAAAAAAAGCCAAGGGGGGAGGCGGAAGATTTGCAAACTTTGGTTTTTTTCTCTTTTTTTCTCTTTTGTTGGTGGGGGCTGTTGGTGCTCGGGGAGGGGCGGGGGACTAAAAGGGTGCTCAGGCTGGCTGAGATGCTCTGCCCGAGAGAGATGCTCCGGTGCGCTCTCCCCTGTCCCTGTGCCTGTGTGTGATTCTCATACCCAGACAATGCTCTGCAAAGCGAGCTGGTCCTGCGGAGAAATGCAAACACCTCCTCCCCCGAGTGCCTGAGGAAAGGGAAAGGGATGGGGAACCAATAGCTTCTCCTTGGCTGCCCTCATTAATATGGAGGACGAAAAGAAACCAATGAGGAGGAGCGGGAGGAGGGATTTATTCAAATCAAGTTTCTTAAATCAACCCTTCTCCCCCCCCCCCTTTTTTTTCCTCCTCTTCCTACGTCCCCCAAATTTTCCTTCTCCGTGTCACCTTAGCCCCGTTTCTGCCGTCCCAAAGATTTTTATTTGTTATTTAATTAGTGTGCCAGGGCCAGCAGCAGACGGTGATGGTAGAGAGGATGGCATCGCTGCTGCGAGGGAGAGCGGCTGTGGGAGGGAGGACGAAGGGAGAGCCAATTTCTCTCCGAGCTGCAGAGAGTTGATTGCAAAGAAAAGTGATAAAGTAGCTGGAGTTGAGGGAAACTGAGGGGAAGCAGGGCAGCAATTTCAGCTGGAAGCATCATTTTGCAGATGGTATTTGCAGATGGGCAGGTGGCCTGAGTCCAGAATGAGCCCTCTGAGCTTGGAAAAGGGTGTTCTCTTCTCTTGCAGCAGACACACACCCAGGAAGAGAAGTGACTGCACAGGAACAGCAGAGTCTGCACTGTCCTGCATTGCCTCAGAGCTGCACACCAGCAGCATCCCTGCACCACCAGAGCAGGAGTGCTACCTGTGGCTGGAAAACCAGTGGAGTGGAGCTGTGGGAAGGGCTGAAATGGTTGGTGAGGAAGGGAAGGGGTGTCCAGCTGGTTCCTTTGGTCAGTACAAGCAGCAGAGCAGGGTGGCACATGTTCTCTGCAAGGTACATACATAGAATCAACCAGTCACTGACTCCCTTCTGCAGAGCAGCCTCCGAGGGAAAGCTCTCCAGACCTGGAAAATGTTCCCTAGAGGAGCCTGAGCATCTATAGCAGCCCTAGAGGAGCCTCTGACAGTACATCAGATGGAGATACTGGTACAACACTGTTTTTGCTGCTGCCAACCCCGCTGCTTTCAGCCACACAGATCCACGTGAAGAATTGTAATGCCCACATCCTCACCCAAATTCCATGAGACCTGTGCTGTAAAAGCAGCTGCCTGCTAATGAGGTTTTTCTAATTACCCTGAAATTTCATTATATCTCAGTACCTATTATTACTCTTCCTGTTGTGGAGGCCTTTTCCTCTGCTTACCTCTCCATGGAATCACCAGCTCATTAAGGTTGGAAAAGATCTCCAAGGTCATCGAGTCCAACCTTTGACCAAACACCACCATGTCAACTAAACCACAGCACTGAGTGGCACACCCAGTCGTTTCTTGAATTTCTTCTCCACCACCTCCCTGGGCAGCCCCTTCTGATGCTTGACAACACTTCCAGTGAGGAAATTCTTCCTGATGTCCAACCTGAAGCTTCTCTGGTGCAGCTTGAGGCCATGTCCTCTTGTCCAGGGGTTAGTTGCTGGGGAGAAGAGGCTGACCCCCCACCTACAACCTCCTTTCAGGTAGCTGTTGTGAAAAAGTCTCCCCTAGGCCTCCTTTTCTCCAGGTTTTTACCACTTGCCCTTCATTTTCTGCATCTCCCCCCACCTTCTATTTCCCTTAGCAGGTAAATTAATATCAAACCATCCTTGCCTGTACCCTGCAAAGGAGCAAAAAGAAAACAAGGCAATCTGGTCTTAAAGAACAATTAAATCCATTACTTGCCCAGGTGCAGGAGCCTGGGAGGACACAGCTCCACAGCAGGAGCACAGACAGCCCTGATCCCAGAGCCCTGGCACAGGAACAGCCCCACAGCTGCACAGATGCCTCCCCTGGAGAAAGGCAGGTACAGACACATTGGCAGTGCCTTCAGCTCTGGGTTTGATCCAGCAATGTGAAGCAGACCAAAGAACCAACTAGGCTTTTCAAAAGATTTCTTTTGTATTTTTTTCCCTCCAGTTGTGACGTCTTCTCTGGTCACATCTCGTACATTTTGGTAAGTTCACCGCACGCCAGGGGAAAAAAGAAAACAAATTAATGATCATAGAATGGTTTGAGTTGGAAAGGACCTTAAAAATCATCTGCCATGGGCAGGGACACCTTCCACTAGACCAGGTTATTCAAAGCCTCATCCAACCTGGCCTTGAACACTTCTAGGGATGGAACTTTCACAGCTTCTCTGGGCAACCTGTGCCAGGGCCTCACCACTCTCACAAGGAAGATTTTCTTCCTAATATCTAATCTAACTCTGCCCTCCTTCTGTTTAAAGCCACTCCCCCTTGTCCTTCACTCCATGCCCTTGTCTAACCCTCCTCTCCAGATCTCCTGGAGTCCCTTTAGGCACTGGAAGGGGCTCTGTGGTCTCCCTGGAGCCTTCTCTTCTCCAGGTGAACCCCCCATCTCTCCCAGCCTGGCTCCAGAGCAGAGGAGCTCCAGCCCTCTGATCATTTTTGTGGTCTGCTCTGGACTCACTCCAGCAGCTCCATATCCTTCCTATTTTGAAGGCCCCAGAGCTGAACTCAGCACTGCAGGTGGGGTCTCACAAGAACAGAGTGGAAGTTGCACTTGGTGTTGTTGAGCTTCATGAGGTTGGCACACACTCACCTCCCAAGAGTGCCCAGGTCCCTCTGGATGGAATTCCTTCCCTCCAGCATGTCAGACACACCACAGCTTGGCTCTGTCAGCAAACTTACTGAGGGTGCACCGGATAGTGAAGGACAGCAAAATGTTTGTTCTTCCCATAAAAAAAATCCATATTCATTCTTAACTTGAAAAACCTCTTTCCCCATTCCAAAAAAAAAAAAAAAACCCACAACAGAAAAGCAATCAAAACCTTAGCTGTGTCCCCTCAAAACTTACAGAATTGATGGCAGTCCTACCTCAAAAATCAGAAGCCCCACAGTGAAATGTTGCCTTGGGTTGCTAAGCATGAAAGAAGACTCCCAGCTGTTCAGTTATTATGTGCTCCTCCAACATCTGCTCCCTATCCTTCCCAGGAGAAGGGCAGCAGGCCAAAAGAATCATCCAGTGGCCCATATCCAGCAGAAATTGGACTGCCTGAGATGGTCTCAGCTGATATTGGTGTCAGGTTTCTCTCACTGAAGCAGTGAGGAGAGTCTATCTAAGAACTTTGTTCTCTGAAGACCATTTTCTTCAGGAGAGAACAACTAAACCATTCCCAGGCAAATGGTGCTTTGTTGTTTATCCTCCTGGGCAGTCTGTTAAATAGGTCTTCATTATTTAACCATGTGCAAAGCGTAATAACCACTCTCTTGGCCAGCATGAGAGACTGGCAGGGGGCAGGAGAAGGCTTCTGAGAGCAAAGTGTGAGTGACTGCTAAAGACCTCGACAGCCACCCATCTGTCATCCTGCACAGGGGTAAGCTGGTTGTGGGAATGTTTGCTGGGACTGGCTTGAAGGTATTTTGTTAGAAGGTCCTTGTCCTTTTATTGGAACACCTTAGGTGTGATTTAGTTAATTGGATGACTGGGTCTGAGCTGGTCAACCATCTCTCCCTTCATATTAAGGTCAAACCTTATCTGTGTAGACACTGGAATATAAGGAATGATCCATCTCAGCCCAAGGGGATGTTGAAAGCAGCTCAGAGGAACCAAGTCCCAAATGTCCCTGTTTCTCTCCACTGATGTCAGAGACACTGGGAACACCAGCCCAGCTGGTTAACACCCACAAAGTAGACCTCTAATGTTTAATGAGATGAGTCCCTCTTTCACTGTCAGGTTTGGCAAGACTGGAGTATTGAGACTCACCCACTTGGCTTGTTCTGTTCTGGCAGGACAGGAACTACTCCCAGTTGGTGCCAGAGCCTCCCACCCACCCTGAGATCCCACCTACCAGACCCTATTGGCCTGCAGATGCTCTGATGTGATGATCAGCTGTGCTGGGCATCAGAAGGAGACCCAGAGGAAAGGAAAGTTCTCCTGTGCTACAGCTACAGTGTGAGGTTGAGAAATATCTCGTGACAGATGGGGCTCTCTGGTCTGAATATCCCTCAGTCACTTCCCACCAACTGGAAGATTTCTAACAGTCAGAAGGAGACATCTCCTGGCTCCTGAGGACAAGATCTGGTGGAGGTAGAGAGTGGGAGGGAACAGCTATTTATGCAGACAACGACTGTCATTTGTTCCCTTTCTGGTTATGGAAATGAGCTGCACTGTTTTAAGGCTTTTCTACTCATGGAACTGTGTCCACAGCCAGGGAGATGCAGTGTCCTAAATCCCTCACCAGCTATAATTAGCTGGGACATACCTGGTGTGCAGGCAAAGGTAAAACTCACGGGAAAAACTCAAACCGTGAACTCAAAGATCAGTGGGTATCCAGCTGTGTGACAACTCCTACCTTGCAGGAAATCCATCAAGGAATGGATTAGCCCACAGGGAGGTACCTCAGGATGCTGGGACGTGTCATGAGCCATCAGTGAGGTGCTGTAAATTCCACCCCAGCTGCATGGACAGGAAGCTGTTGAACTCAATATCCTCAAATGGAATTTATTTGGAACAACCCCTTGATTCCTGTGTCTAACCAGGAGTCTCCTGCAGCTCCTCTGTGGTATCTTTAGGTCTCCAGGGAATGTTTTAGGTGCACAGAGGGAATGGCTCAGGTGAGCAGTGCAAGGCTCCAATATCCTGCTATTCTTGAAGTCAAGAGTACACTTACCCATAAATTCAGAGTTCTTTTCCCCATCTGACCCAGCTCCTCCATCGGGAGCTCCACTTGGCATGAGGACAGAACTTGTTCTTTCCCCTTCTCGGGTAAATAAGCTAAAGATGCCCTCTGACAACCCCTTCTGATTCAGGATCAGGTGTTTAAAGGAATTATTCTGTGTGAATCATCCTTCCAGTGGAAGTTACATCCCCACTAAAGGGAGTCAGCAGAAGGGGATGTGTGTGAGCTTCCCTGACATAGAGAAAATGGGCAAAGGAGTCATGAACAAGACACAACAGGAATTCATCAAGGGAATTACATCTATGGAATGATTTAACTGTAAGAACTGCTCTAGATTAGGAACCTTCAGCTTTCAATAGAGACTGC